GTGTGTGTGTGTGTGTGTGTGTGTGTGTGTGTGTGTGTGTGTACGTGTAAATGTGGTTTTTGTGCGTGCGTGTTTATGTATGTGCGTACGTGTTCGTGGGTGTATTCGTGTGTGTGTTCGTGAGCGTCGATGGTCAAGTTTAATCAACCATAATATTGTCACGTGACGCATGTGAAGCGGGCCCCTGTGGAAGTCGACACGGCCATGAACAAGAAACTCACCGGGACAAACGGAGAGAAAAAGTGGGCATTTGGTAGTTTTCTCTGTCTGCGGGCACAAACTTTTTTTTCAGTTTTGTTTGTTCGTTTGTTTATTTGTTTGTTTGTTTGGGTTGGGGTTGTATTTTTTGGCCTGTACCATAAGTTGGCTCTTATTTCATTTTTAATGATCGGGGAATGGCTAATTTAGTTTTAGTTTTTAGTTTCAGTAATTTTAAGAGCTTTATGGTATTCGCAACACATATAGGTCATATAGATACGGAAGATGAGATATACTTTTTTTTAGGGAATAACAAACACAAAAAGAAGGGAGGAAAGATAAGGACCACGGATACTTGATCGGAAAGAAGGAGCAATCCACACCAGAGCACCCACTAACCATCCACAGGGGTAGTTTGAGGGTAAAGTGTTTGGGTTTAACGCCTCTGTCAACACTAAATGTATAAGGTTGTGTAAAAGTAAGTACAGTGTAAGAGTTAAACGCGCTTATTAATACTGTTAGTTTACTTAAGAAGAGGCGTGATCTTCGAATTTAACGTGTCTCCTAAAAAAAACCGAGCTAAATGGGTCGAAAGCCCTGTTTTTAAAAAAAACCTACAATAAAACGTTCTCTTCCAAGAGTCGGGGATTCGAACCAGGTCCATCCGCCCCATTGTCCAATACAATGTATGATACCAACTGAGTCCCAGTTTAAAGGAAAACTAAATGCGCCCTTTACAACCACCTGACCGCATGGGTGGAAAGCCGCATCAATGATAGGCCTGTGGTTCCACTTGCCCACCAGTTCCATGGGTGTGTTCCGCAAACAGCAGCCGTTGCTATTTGAGCAACAGAGAATCTCTGTGACGGGGGAAGGCCATTCAGAAACTTTTAATACATTGTAGCCTGGTATTATCTGCTTATTTTACGTTTTTTACGTACATTTTATTAAATAAATTTGGAGTTTGAGAATTGCACAAACTAAAACAAACTACACACACAAGGCAATTATTCAGACCTACCTTATACGATTTTAAAAAATATTTTATTTGTTTATTTATTTATTGTTTGTTGTTAGAGTCAACGAGGCGCATGAGCACATTCGGTGTTAGATAAGTGCAGTATAGATAGTATTATGTACCGGCAGTTGCAACG